ACATATGCCTCAGAGACCTACGCCCTACGAAAAGAGGATGAGAATGCTATTCGGGTCTCCCAAAGAGGAATCGAAAGAGCTATGCTTGGAGTATCATGCTTCACTCAAATGAAAAAAGAACCCAGAGTTCTGACTTCATCAGTGGTTAAGAATCAGGGATACTGTCTCATTTGCCAAGGCATCGAAAATCAGATGGGCTGGACATGTAATGAGATTTGCAGATGACTACTGGACTAGAGCCGTTACCAACTGGATTCCATAGGACATAAAAAAATCACATGGCTGCACACCTACGAGATTGTCAGACTTCTTCATCAAGACCCTGAATGATTGGTTTGATGTTCTTCATATTCCTAGAACAAGCAGATGCCATTGGGCTGCACTAGCACATGACAGGGACGAATGGAGATGTTAATGGCGCCCACTTGAACAAATTGATGAGCAACGGATGTCAAGTGATCAAGTGATACCAAAAATAGTAACAACAAACCTCACAATGGAGACATTGCTGGAGCCCGCTTGAGCAAATCGATGAACAACAGGACAGTGCTACAGTGCTATTTGTTTTTAGTTTGGGGGCCATGTCAGCAATGCTCAGGATTTACTCCTTTCAATGCTCAGTGATCACTTCTATACCCCTATATGCGGACCATATGTGATACCAGGATTTGAACCAGTGTTAGCCTCATGGAATAAAAGAGCTTTATCCCTATACTATCTCTTTGGTCCTTCTTTGTCTTGTTAATGAACTCTGATCAATTACTTATATGTTCAGTTACTTAAATAATATTTTAATTACTCTTTAGTTGGGCTGGAGTGATAGAACAGCAGGTAGAGCATTTGACCAGGTCAGTCGTATACATGGCTGACCTGGGTTTGATTCCTCAATCCCTCTCAGGGAGCTCAGCAAGCTACTGGAAATATCCTGCCCACATGGCAGAGCCTGGTAAGGTCCCTGTGGTGTATTCAATATGCCAAAAACAGTAACAACAAGTCTCACAATGGAGACATGATTGGTACCCACTCGAGCAAATCTATGAACAATGGGAGGACAGTGCTCCAGTGCTTTTCTTTAGTTAATAGTATTTAAAAGCTCTGGCACAAACTTAGATTTCATCTTGCAATTTTGCTTGGTATATTACACAGGTTTCCTGTCCAATGCTTATTGTATTCTGAGAAAAAAGTACTGCAAATAATCCCTGAGCATCAAGCCAGGCATAACCCCTGAGCACCATGGGGTGTTGGTATTGGTATGAAAGTCTTTCAATGTTTTATAAATTTAATAGGTATGCTTTTTGAAGAATGCTTAAACGATGGTTATCTTAGACATAACACAGTTACTTTATTGCATAAATAACCAAGTATCAGAAAATTGATTCTTTTTTGTGTTCCTTCTCTTCAAACAAAATTCTCTTCAAAAAAATAATTGGCAGTATATGAATTTCTCCCTACAACCATCATGTATCTCTAAGTCAATCATGCAAAAATTCAAGGATTGACTGGAGGTCCACTCCTAGGAAGTCAACAAAGATTGCAACATGTTTAACTTATCTCTCCCTTTAGACATATTGCCAACCTTTATATATGCTCTTTACTTCAAAGCTGATGCTACTGACCACACAAAATGCACAGAAAAATAAAGATTCGTTTTTTTGTCCATGTTTTATTATTTTCATCCTTTTCTACTCAGAGGTCTTACACTGTGACCCATGATAATTTTTGGCAGGGTGTTTTAAAAGAATTTTGAGCTACATGCCTTCAAGTGGTGAATACACTTTTCAGTTGTTAGTTGTCTGAACCTCAGAGGAATTAACATTTGTTCTCCTAGAAATTAGAAGCACTTTCATTTTCCATTTTTCCACTAAGTTGACTTTTTAAAAAGGCTAAAAATGCAATAGAATACTGAATTATTTTTATAAGCATGGCTTATTTAAAAACTCTATTCTGAGAATATAAATTACTGCTTGACAAGCAGACTACTGCTAAAACTGCAGTACTGATGGTGTGGAAAATGGAAGTAAAAACTCACAATGCTAAGACTGTATCATCAATTTAAATGGAACAATATTTAAGTCTTTAACATTAAGCCACAACCTACTAACTAATTTTCATGATTATTTGAGTCTGAATTTTTGTTCAGTCTCTCATTTTTGAATGGAGGGGACTGGGAGCTACCCAGTTTGTCCACTATGGACTAGGCAGTGGTAAGACACTGTCTCTATCCAAGTTTCTTGAGGAGACACTTCAGTGCCTTGAGGAGTTACTTCCTGTGGTTAGTGACATGGTAGCCTAATGCCTGACATTTCTTGTAGAAGCTACATTAGCTTGGCTTGCACGAGGACCGTCTGACTTCTTTGGCCTATGACATTAAAAAAACCTACCTAGTTCCAGGATCCAGATATGGGACCACTATAGAAGTTAGGTGCTTGAAATTTATATGGAACAATAAGCCCCCACGAATAGCTAAAGCAATTCTTGGGAAAAAGAAAATGGGAGGAATCAACCTCCCGAACTTCAAACTGTACTACAAAGCAGTAATAATTAAAACAGCATGGTACTGGAACAAAGGCAGAACTGCAGACCAATGGAACAGGGTTGAATACACTGACATCTCTCCTCAATCATATGCTCATCTAATCTTTGATAAAGGTGCAAGTAATGTGAAGTGGAGTAAGGAAAGCCTCTTTAATAAATTGTGTTGGCATCACTGGACGGCTACATGCAAAAAAATAGGCTCAGAACTCTGCCTAACACTGTGTACAAAAGTAAGATCAAAATGGATTAAAGACCTCAACATCAGACCAGAAACCATAAGGTACATTGAAGATAAAGTTGGCAAAACCCTCCATGACATTGAAGCTAATGGTATCTTCAAAGATGCCACGCCACTGGCCGAGCAAGTGAAAACAGAGATAGATAAATGGGACTATCTTAAACTAAGAAGCTTCTGCACCTCCAAAGAAACAGTGACCAAAATACAAAGACAGTCTACAGAATGGGAAAGGATATTCGCCGAATACACATCTGACAAGGGGTTGATATCCAGGATATACAAAATACTGGTTAAACTCCACAAGAAGAAAACATCCAACCCCATCCAAAAATGGGGCAATGAAATGAACAGAAACTTTCTCAAAGAAGAAATCCGAATGGCAAAAAAGCACATGAGAAAATGCTCTACATCATTAATCATCAGGGAGATGCAGATCAAAACCACAATGAGATACCATCTCACACCTCAGAGACTAGCCCACATTCAAAAGAACAAAAGCAACCGATGCTGGCGTGGATGTGGCGAGAAAGGGACACTCCTTCACTGTTGGTGGGAATGTCCACTGGTTCAGCCCTTCTGGAAAACAGTATGGACGATTCTCAAAAAATTAGAAATTGAGTTCCCATTTGACCCAGCAATATCACTCCTGGGAATATATCCCAGAGAGGCAAAAATGTATAGTCGAAGTGACATCTGCACTTGTTTGTTCATTGCAGCACTCTGTACAATAGCCAGAAACTGGAAAAAACCTGAATGCCCAAGAACAGATGACTGGTTAAAGAAACTTTGGTACATCTACACAATGGAGTACTATGTAGCTGTTAGAAAAGATGAAGTCATGAAATTTACATGCAAGTGGTACAATATGGAAAGTATCATGCTAAGCGAAATGAGTCAGAAAGAGAGGGATAGACATAGAAAGATTGCATTCAGCTGGGGGATATAAAGTAACAAAGTATGAGATTAATACCCAAGAATAGCTGAGATCAGCACCAGGAGGATTACTCCATAACTTAGAGGCCAGCCGGGTATCCTAGAGGAAAGGGCAGTTCAGATAGAGAAGGGAGCACCAAATAAAGGATGTTTGGAGGATCCTCCCAGGAGGGGAGATGCATGTCGAAAGTAGACTATGGACTGAACATGTTTGCCACTCAATGCCTCTTTTGCAGACCACAACACCCAAAAGGAGAGAGAGAACACAGGGGATTGCCCTGCCACAGAGACAGGGGGGATGGGGGGATGGGGGTGGGAGGGATATTATCCATGGTGGTGGAAAATGGGCACTGGTGGAGGGATGGGTATCTGATCATTGTATAATTGAAACCAAAGCACAAAAAATTGTAAATCTACAACTTTAAAAAAAAATAAAATACAATAAAGGGAAAAAAAAAAGAGTCAATAAATGAAGAACTGCTTGACCACCAAAAAAAAAAAAAAAGTTAGGTGCTTAACAAGGGACATGTAGCACTTTACAAGGGACTCTACTTGGGATTATAAGACCAGGCGACACTCTTGGTAAGTGACACTAAGATAAAAGGAGAGGTAAGGAGTATCTAGGAAAAAGTAATTAGCATAGGAGAGCATTAAGAGTCAAATTTGAACATCTATTTAAAACAAAGGGATAAACCAAATAAGAATTTTGAGCTTTTCTCATCTGTACCCTACTCTTTCCTGTTGTTTATGAACTCTGGAGAAGATATGGGTAAGAGGAAAGGAAAATAACCAAGTTAAAGAAGATGACAGTGGTCCTAGCTGGATAAGGGAAAGGATGTGTGTATGTATGCACATGTACATATGGGTATTATCTGCGAATGGAGATTAGCACAGTTCATTAATAGTCTCTTTAACACTGTGGTTTCTAAATTGACAAAGTTACTATGGTTCAAATGAGCCAGAAGAATTTATATTAACTATGAGATATGAGAGAAGTACCCAAGTATTCTTCCAGAAGCCAGAGAAAGAATGTTTCCACTTAGAAGTTTTCAAAGGACTTTGGAGATAAAAAGTAAAACTGTAGTCTAATAGCATCTCATAAATTTTGTGATTCAATATACCAGCACTATATGTACATACATAAACATATGTATGTTCACCTATATCTTTTATAAATTTAGAACATACAATGTTAAAATGCTTTTAAATTTTTGCTTCCACAGAACCCATAAAATTCAGACGTTCATCTGAATTAGTCATAAATTAGTCATTTAAAAATAAAATATAATACTACCTTGTTATGATGCAGCCATAAATATTTTAAATTTTTAAACCTAGAAAGATCATTGACTTCTGACAGATCCCTGAAAAGATGAAAAAGTCAACATTAGTAAATATTTATTGAATCATGAATAAGGCTGGTCATATTCATATAGGATTTTGGAATAAATGGAAAGGTCTTTGTCCTTTTAAAATTTCTGGCAAACTTATATGCTAAGGCCAATTTCCAAAATTTAATCATCAAAAATTCATTAATCCAAATAAGACAAATACTTAGAGACATGTTTTATCACATTAGTAAAATCTCATTATGACCAAATTTATTAAGACCTCAATTAAAAACTGGTTGTACTAAGGTGAGGGCAACAGAAAAATTGTGCTATTTTCTTGGGACACTAAGACACTGTTTTTCCAATTTTTAGGAAAACATACATCCTTTTTTTTTTTTAAGTTTTGGCACCACAGCTGGCAGTGCGCAGGGCTTATTCCTGTCTCTGTGCTCAAGGGTCACTCCTGGTAGAGTGCAGCAGATCATCTGGGGTGTTGGGGATCAATTTAGGTAGGCTGTGTACAAGGCAACTGACTTATCTGCTCTACTATCACTCTATCTTCCAAAACACATACTTTTAAAAACACATGAACAAGCTTTCTTACCAAGGGATATTTTATCAACTTTTCAAATTGAGAAGTTTCAAACCTAAGCAAAGCTGTGTAATAAAATGGAAACTTATAATTTAATATTTGGCACACTTATGTGTAACCCTTTCTTTTCTTGTTTTGGTCTAGGGGCTATACCTACAGTGTTTAGGACTTACTCCTGGTTCGGTGCTCAAGGATCACACCTGGTGGGCGTTGGGGACCAGGAGAAGTGCCATGGATTGAACCTGGAACTGGCCACATGAAAGGCGAGTTCCCTACTTGCCGTACTATTGCTCTGGCCCCTAGTCTCTCTTTTCTATTCATTATTTAATATATTTCTTATTGAATTATTTAAAAATAAGTTAGACAGACAATATTCCCCATACTCTCTCTCTACTTTTGGGCCTTGTGGTTTGCAATGCAGATACTGTCTTCCCATCAAGGCAGGGGGAGGGGGGAATGGGGGTGCATACCAGTGATATTGGTGGTGGGGAATGTGCACTGGTGGAGGGGTGGGTGTTTGATCATTGTGTGATCATACCCCAAACATGAAAGCTTGTAACTATCTCACAGTGATTCAATAAAATTTTTTTTAAAGTTAAATATATTACTGGCCTCCAATGCCTGTTTTGACATAGATACCCCAAATCATGATATTTTTATGAACAACCAAGGTACCATAATACCTACGAAAATAATCCAATAGTATCATTTAATATGCTGCTTACATTTAAATTTCTTCTGTTGTCCCCTACATTTTTCTTTTATTTTAGACCATTTTTGATTTGGGGACCACACCTAATGATGCTCAGGAATTACTCCTATCAGTGCTTTGGGACCATACGGAAAGTCAGAGATGACTTCTGGGTCAGCCACATGCAAGGCAAGTACCCTACCCACTGTATGTTCTGCCCCTACATTTCTTTTTAAATTTATTTGATTAAATTAAAAACTGCTATAAACACTCATTACTTAGTCACTTTTAACTTTTTCTTTCATTGTATTGGCTATTTGAAAAGTGGAGGATAGCTATCTGATGGATATCTGTCTCACATTCATTTGTTTCCCTATTTTTTAATTACAGTGTTGGTAATGCTGAATCACATCAGAATGATGTCATTTTGTCCTACTTTTAGTGATATTAAGTTTAGCATTTGGTTATGTAGGCACCTCTCAGGTAAGTCATTGTAAAAATACTGACGTCATCATAGACAAATAATTAAGGGGTGAGGTTGTAACTGTGGTACAGAACATGTCTTTCATGCATGAGATCCTTTGTTTGATCCCTGGTTCTGCAGAACAAAACAAAAACCACTCTAACATCCTTCTCTCTCCATACAGCCCCAGGTAATAGCAAGAGCAGCAATATCTTATAAGTATAAATACATGTATTTTATATATAAAATAGGGTCTGGAATAGTGCTTGGTGAAAGGGTGCTTAACTTGCAGTCAGCTGACCCAGATTTGACCCTAGCACCCTTTATAGTTCCCTGAGCTTGCCAGGAGTGATTCCTGAGGACAGAGACAGGAGTAACCTGAGCACTGCTGGGTATGGTCCCCAAAACAAAATAAATTAAGTAATATGTAGGGTAAAACTCTGAGACTTCACAAATACATTGTCTTTCAATCACTACTTACTTATTGACTTTAACATCCATTTAAATTTATTGGAATTCTATAAAGAATCAAGAATTCTTATAGATAGAATTCTATAAAATATACTATCTTCCCCCACACCACCATCTTATGTTCTTATTCATTCTTTTACCAATACTGCCCAGATTTGAAGTTTTTTCTTAATCCTTTATTCTTTTTTGGAGCAGGGATGTGTTTTGGGGTTACATGCAGCAATGTTCAGGGCTTACTCCTGGCTCGCACTCAGAAGTCACTCTGGCAGTGTTCAGGGGATAATATAAGGTGCTGGGAATCAAACCTAGTTTGGCTACATGCAAAGCAAGCACCCTGCCTGCTTGTACTATCACTCTTGCCCCTGATACTTTGTGTATGTCATTGCACAATAATGATAGAATGTTAGTTTATGTACTCCAAAAATAAAGCAATTATCAAGAGAAACTCAAATGCCATTTAAAGGATTTCTTCAAGAACTTTCCAGAAAAGTTACTTTTAATAATTTCCTTAAAATTATAGAATATCAAAATTTTTTAAAACATTATCAATTGTCAAATTACCATCATTAATTTTTGAGAATTTGTAGCACTAAATGATTCGCTTTTTACACTTGATCACAAATTAATTTTTATCTTCATTAATATTTGTAAATCATATTGCCCTGTTTCAAAAAAAATTTGTTTTGAGGTCAGACATGGTCAGTGCTCAGGAGCTATTCTTTTAGATTAGGTGCTTAGAGGACCATAGATGCAGCTGTCGGGGATGATGTGAACTACAGCCCTTTTAGTTCTCCCTGGCCCTGCCATAAAAAAAATCAACATATATATAGGTAGGTTGCCTTAACTGTTTGTTTCTGAGAATAGAGGGGAAAATTCTAAATATTTGTGATTAAAGTGGGATAGTGGATTTAATAGATAAGAGAATCATCGAACTTGGGTGTTTGCAAATCATTATTTCCTTAGGAAATAAGAGGGCTCCTTCAGAATTTCTACCCCCAGCCCTATTTTCTATGATATACTGAGGAGAGGCCACATTTTCATATCTGTGGTGCCAAAGCTCTCTATAATCTTTCTACTTGTGAGGATCCACTGATGTCATATAACACCAAGTCAGATAGGTGACTGCTTCTCTCTGGGGAGAGTTTTGAGCATCTTGGGTGAGGCGACAGCTCTGAATGAAATACTCCCCACAGACTAATGTTGATTATAAAGGCCTGTTGCAGGCATAAACCTCCTTCAGTCTCAAAGGTATACCACTGCCAAGGACTTCTGCCTGCTTCCGACTTTTTAGAGCTGGTATCTACTCAGAGATCAGCCTCTGCAGCTCTCTAGGACTTCTCCCTGGCACTGTGGTTGTTATTGGGCCAGAGGGAGCTGATGCCTTTCTTCACAGTGAGCAGCTAAATGACAGTCTTCAGAGGTGGGAATGGGCAAATGATTGGAGAGGCTTTTCCCACACAGTGAAGAGGGTTTTCTTCACTGGGAGTTTCCTGCAGGCCAGGGATGAATTCTACGCTTCTGATGCAATGGTTTGTCTGTGATGGATTCTCAGGATCTCTGTGCAGTGGCAGTTTGATGATCCACACAAGACGTGTTTCTTGTGCTAGTCTGTGGTGGATTCACTCCTACGGAGACAGTAGATTCTGCTTGACTTCTTTCTGGGATTATTTGTACATAAAACTTCTGGCATCTGTGAATCTCTCCTTGTGCCCTGGGAGTTCTGCTTAGAGGACATCCCACAGCCCCTGAGAGTGGAAGGTTTATATCCACTATCTGGCTTCCTGCGAGTTCTGCAACCTGTAACCTGATGGCAAGCATATTACAGTCACTGCTCTCATCTGGCTGTTTACTGAGAAGCTTGTCTACTCAGTTGGGATCATCTGTGAGTCATTAGCATAGACAGGTTTTCTCCTAGAAATTTCTAGGCACAGAATTAGGTTTGACCTCAGGATATAATCTTTTCCCCAGACTGAATCTTTATTAGTTTCATTATTGCTTGTTGTTTCTCCAAGGTCAAATTCCAGTTGTCTCTATTTTTTCTGGTTCTTCTTTATCTGGCCTTCACATTCTCAGTCTTCCCCCAATACATCTGAGTAAGTCTTTTCTTTCAGAGACACAGAATGGCCTTTCCTTACCGAGGTCATGCTAAGGCCTTTGACTTTCAGGTCTATGGTCCTCTAAGCACCTAATTTAGGAACCTATCCTAGATAGGACTGGGAAATTCCTCTCTCCTCTACCCACTTTAACCCCTTGATCCAGCTGAGGGTTTTCTTTGTGTTTGGGAAGCTCAGTTCCCATGAGAACAACAATTCAAAGATTCCCAAAAGTCCTTTGAGTATATGTAGGTCCTCTGGACAAGACCCATTGCACAGTCCTTCTGTGAAAAGTGCATAGTCATGTTACCAGAAGGTGCCCATCCGCTCCTGGAGATACTGTCTAACTTCCAGGTCAGAAGCTTTCTTGAACCCTTTGGGGTGGGGGTGTGGTGGGGGTGTCTGTTAACTCCAAGCACTAAAGTCTCCCTGTTGGAAATAACTATCATGCCTCTGTTGGTTCCTGGCTTATAGAATGCATTCCATCTGATTACCTTTACTTGAGGCACAGGAGGGGTATCAAAGGAGCAGGAATAGCTCTGTCCTGAACAAGTATGATCTTAAAACCTTTTCTGAAGGCAACTAATCTTAGAGGGAAATGTATTTTTACAGATACACACACATACACACACATTAGCACACAAGACTCAACCTTTAACAATATATTAGTAATCTCTTATAGAAGGGCTTGATGGCTCCTGGGTGAAATATAACAATCTTCACACACTGTCTCCTAAGGAAAGTTTTTTGAGCATTTTCAGCAGCTTATTCATAACAATCAGTACAAAATAAGTTATTTCATCTCTGCTTTGGGGAAAGGGTTTGGGTTTGGGATTGAAATACCCAAAATTTCGTGGTGGGAAAGTATAATGGTGGTGGGATTGATGACTGAATATTAAGTGTAATCAAATATTGTGAACTACTTTATAAAAAATAAATTTCAAAAAAACCTTGAGTACTGGAAAGATGGCTAACAAGCCCAGAGTGATTGAGTTTTGAGGGTACTTTCAAGTTATAAATGTTGCGTATGAACATAAGTCTGTCTTAAATCAGTAATATGCCATAACACTTTTAGGTGAGAACAATAGAAAACACAGAGCAAAACTTCTGTTACTAATTGTGACAATCACTTGTGTAGTATATCAAGCATCAGGGCATACTGTTTTTCATGATTCCTCAAAGACTCATTAATAAGATTTTTTCCATTTAAGAGGGCATCAAAACTTTGGAAAATAACCCAATTTGCTGAGTTTGTGTCTGGACTATGAAGCTTTTCTTGTACCCACATTGATTAAGTGCTAATTTTGTGTTTTAAGATTTAAAAAAACCCTTGTTTTCCTTCATTGGTAAGACTTCTAATTACCCGTTGTCAGAGGATCAATATTTCTAATTTGCTTCTAGTGTTTTACTTTTTTCTGTTATAAACTACTTATTCTTATTTCCAGTAGTGCACAGTTGTTAAAATTGCAAAGATTTAGATATATAATCCTTTGACAATGTGAACTATTTGTCACTATTTTGAAACTAACTGATCGATTGAAAGATTGAAAGCATGACTTTTTGTGTGGCATAATTTTCTATCATGCCTGCCCCATTGTAAACTACAGCTATTTGAAAGTCTTAAATTGGCTAGCTATTATTTCCTTACTACCACTGGACTCAGGGAAGCCATTAAAAAACTAAATGATTTTGTCTACACTGGTAAAATGAAAATAAATACATATAGCAAAAGAAATAGGTTTGTTAGTAAATGAGTTCCTAGATATTTTCTTTTAGTAATTTACCTTAAATTACTAGGGGTAAAGTGATTGGCTTCATTGATAAAGTAGGATATTTTCTTTGAATATTAAATATCTGATTTCCAAAGACTACATGTGAATACAAATATGTCGTCAAGCTATTTTAAAGCAATGCTATGCAGACTTCACAGCAACTTAAAAAGGTTAAAAGTTTATTGTATACTACAATGCAAACTCTGACTTCCAGGTGTCTCTATATTAGCCAGTGAAAACTGAAATCAGAGTTCAGTCCAATCCATAGTTGGTCTGATCCAACCCTCTCCCTGTACATCTATTACAGACACTGGAAATGCTCTGTGAGAGACTCTACCTGGTAGTGTGTCACCTCTAGGAGGTGGAGTATAATCAAAGGAGAAGCAAGGGGATTTTCTATTAGCTGGTAAAATGAATAAAGGGTTGTTAGTTAGGAGTTCTAGTGTAATAGAGGTCATCACTATAGCGCAGGGGTTTGAGTTATTTTGCCCCTAATGATAGTATCAGTATTAACCCACTAATCCTCATTGATTGCTATGCTGCAGTAAATCCTTTCATAACTTTACTAACTCACCTTATCTTCACAACAACCCTGTGAAGCAGAAAAGAGTGTTACAAATGGATAATGTGGTTGCCAGAAAAAAATACCAGAGAAATGCCAGAAAAAATGCCAGAGAAACAAATAATGTTCCAGTGTTATCTGGTACATGCTTGTACTAAAAGAAATTTTTAAAAATTTTAAAAAAAGGAAAGAAAAGAAAAGAAAAAAGAAAAAGCACACTTCTATGAATTCTCACATAACTAGATATTCTTTTATTTTTCCACTTTATTTTTAGGCCCATCTGTGCCAAGGGCTTACTTCTGGCTCTGCATTTAGTGATTGCATCTGGTGGAGTTGGGCAGGGAGTCAAGGAGGGCCCATATGTGGTGCCTTACCTATAGTACTAACTCTCTGGGTTCTAATATTTTATTTGATAAATGTGACACTCTACAGGGGGTTGTGTAACATATGCATCTGATGACCCATCTGGAAGGGATAGAGCTAGGATTAATCTCCATCTGGTTCTATATCTTTGTTTTGTTTTGTTTTTTAAAATCTATTTCAATATCCTGCCTCTCCCTTAGAGATTGTATACTCCAACAATTGGTAAAGGTAAAGGTAAAAAATTAGTATGTGATGCTGATATCATAGACATTGAGGGATGGGTAATGGAAAAAAATTGAATCTATTCAACATTATATCACAAGGTGTTCTTCTAAAGTACACTTACTTTTGAGAAAGGAATAGCTCAAAGACATCAGCATCCCTCTTGTGACCACATATCTTTAGTTGATCTTCAACTGCCTGATAACATATAATTAATCTGTCAAACCACATTCCACTGTGCAAAAATACTGAGACATTTGCAGTCAATAACAATAACGTCTACAGGAAGATCAAAAGAAAGGTGAATATGGAGGCAACCACTCTAAACTGATAAATTCCAACACTACAATTATATATTATTTAATCATTTTTGTGGTTGAATTTCATTATCCTTAATCCTGGGCACAGATGTGTAAATAATTTTTAATCAAAGAGAAAAAATTTTGTATGTATATGTAAACCAAAAACAACTTTTCAAATCTCTATGAGGCATGGTAATTGGATCTTTAAATAATTAGTCTTAAATGTTCCTTCAAACATAGAGAACTAAAATTATATTTGTATAAAACAACCAGAAATGGGGTAGCAGTTGAATGAAATATACATATATAATCTCATAAATTTTATAAGACAAGATTCATTTTTGTGTCCACTCTGATGTGCTTGTACCCAGAAAGTGCTCAGAAAATATTAGATAAGCTAAAAAATGAATATGTCACTTTCCTTGGACCAAATAAATGAATCCCTTGCTCTGCAAAGGAATTATTTTATTTTTTATGAATTATTGGCATACTTGAGCTTTGGGAAATTTTTTGTAGAAAAGAAAATCATAGGCTTCGTTTTGAAAACTCAAACTAGAAACAACCACTTAAAATGATTTCTTCAATCATTTCAAGCAAATTACAAAGTAACATTTCTATGCCACATTGCCTAAGACAATATGAAAAAAAATCAAAACTCATCTATAATTTGCCATGAAAGAATGCTGCTAACAAGACACAACAAAAATCATGAGCATAATCATTGAACTTCTGGAATCTGACACACTTTGTAAGTATCAGACTGAAAAACAATCACCAAATTTCAGTTAGAATTTGTTGTGGGTAGTCTTAGTGATTTTTGAAGTCTTGATGGTTTTGTGATTTAATGGTGGATGTTATGAAGTGTTAGATTTAGTGGGATGAGTGACTAGGTAAGGACGCTAAGTATCTAGGAAAAGGGGGCAGTTGCTAATTTATAGACCCAGCTAACTTTATTAATCTGCTACACAACTGAAGTTTTGGTGCATGGAAGTTGTTCTGTTTTGTGACCCTGATGAACAAGATGATTCTCGACCTTGAAAACATTAATTTGATTAGGCTAAGACTACCATATTTGGACATTTTAATTTAATCACCTAAACTAATAGAAGTTTCAACATGTTAACACTTGAAGACAGGAAAATGTCCATGCACCAGTCCACAGATAATGCTTGAAGACTACTAGTCAAATCGTCATTGTCTACTACATAGTCAATTACAACTTGGTAAAAGTAGAAGGAAAGTTCAGCTATCAATCAAAATTATAGGTTATTTTTTTAACTTGATCCCACAATTTCACATCTAGGACTCAGAAATACAGTTCTAGCACTCAAAATTATGCCAGCACATCTGCACACACAAAACGTGAATAGCATCACTCATCTCATCATTGTTAGCAGTTGTGAAATATTCCCCCATTAGTAGAAATTAAATTCAGGATTAAATTCAGATTTCACCTCACAAAGGAATACTGTGCCACAGCTTAAGAATATAGAAAGATGCATGTGTAAGTGTATAAAGATATCCAAAATGCATTTTAAAACAAAAAAGAGCTATTTGTAGTAAAATATATGGAAGTCAACAATTTATCTGTATGATGTTTATACACACATACTCAAAATTGCAAACAAAAGTCATCTCCTGAAATTATGGTTGAACTTTCTCTTTCTACATAATGCTGTAATGTTTCAATATTTCACTACAAGCCTAGATCAATTTCATAAACAGAAATTAAGACTACTTTGAACATTTTAGCCACATAATAAATATTTAAAGATCTAAATCAAATATAAGGACATGAAAGGGGAAATTGAAGCTATTGGCCTAATATGCAAATCATTAGTGTAATTAATTATTTATTTACACAACTTCTTATCATGGTCTGTTTCTTTCCAACTAAAAATTTTATATGAATCTGGTAACAAGCATTAATGTCAAAGTGCCAAAGAACACAAAAACATGCCAAGAAGTTTTAAGTTTTAGTGAATCCATGATGGAGCAGTTCCAATTCCTAATCAACACACAACTTCACTAACAACATATTCCTTTCATCTAAACAAACACAACAAGCATTTTCCCCCTTTTTTGTTTTTGTTGTTGTGGTGGTAAAATATACGTAACATAGAATTTCTGTTTTACTGTATAGTTCTGTGGTGTAAGTGCACCAACAGTATTGTGCAATCATCACAACATGCATTTCCAGAATTCTCTTCATGCCTCCCCCCTACACTTTGACACCTAAATCCACTAAACACTAATTTCTACTCTTTCAACGTTCTATATTTTTTTTGTGAATTTGACTACTCTAAGTATCTCATAAAAATAGAATCATATAGTATTTTCCTTTTGGTAATTGTTTATTTCATTTAGCTTAATGTCTTCAAGGTATGTTCATGTTGAGTTGTGCATCAAAATTTTTTTCTTTTTAAATATGAAAACCATTTCATATTCTGTATATAACAGACTTGTTTGTCTATTTATCCACTGATAGGTACTTGAGTTCCTTTACTCTTTTGGGTTTTGTGAATAATGTGGCAATTAACATTGGATCTACAAGTATTTCTTAAAGTTCTGTTTCTTGCTTCCTGTCGATATATACTCATAATTTAAATTTGCAAATACTTAATTCTGTATCTTTTTTGAAGAGTCACCAATACTATATTTTTTAGGAGTAGCACATAAACAAGCATTCTTTAAGATGAATACTTGAAAAATTGTAGATCCAAATGTATCATTCAGCCATTTATTAAACAACAAATTGCTGAGAACGTAGTTCAGGCTGTAACTAGTTTAGTCTATGACTAGCTAGTAAATGTAGCAGTGAATTAGGCAAAGTGCCAGCCTTTCATGAGCAAACATTTTAGTAGGAATTGAAGAGACATAATGCTTTTTATAGAAAGTTGCAAGTGTTAAGGTTCATAAGAAAAGAAAAATATGCTCTGGTGAATTTAGAGGAAGAAATCACTTTCAGACTGGGAACTCAGAAGTTTTCAGAGCAGGGTTAACAGTTGTGCTGCGCCTGAAAGGGAGGGAAGAAATTACAAACAGAATACTGTTGGATGGACATTTTTAGTCACAGGGGGAGGTAAGCATGCAGGTGAGGGGGAGAAAGTTCAAAGAAGGTAGCCTTTGGCTATAATAAGAGGCAACTGTGAGAAATAAATTAAAAAAATAAATTAAGGTGGATTGGCATCATATTATTTATTCTAACTTTGAAACTTGGGCTCAGAAATGTGCATTTAATTAGCACTCAAACAAAACTTTTATAAACCCTGAGAATTCTAGCTTAAAATCACATGTCAGCTGTAATTCCAAATTCATTTGATTTTATGATATATGTGGCCATACATATGGAATATATATGAAGTGTGTGCATATATCTATACCATATCTATGTATATATACACAGTAATTGTATGATAAAATTAATTTAGGAATGTCCAGCAAATGACAGCAAAGTATTAAAATAATATCAAGTAATTTTAAGAAGGCTTTTTCCTCTTCTGGTGCCCTTGCTTTGTTGCTATCCTAAATGAACGGATGTAATACATAGAAGGCAGTTCAGCATCAAATAAAAATATGGGATAGCAGGGAAGTACTAGTTTTTTTTCTTATAATTGGAGAAAATATGGGCAACCTTAGGCCTCAGGAATATGACTTTAGCAGAAACATGTGTGATGCCCTGAGGTATAGTGAGACCTTCAGAAAGGAAGCAAAATGGCCTCTGAAAAATCAATGGAAAGGCTGAAGAGTCTGTCCCAGGATAGTGGCAAGTGAGAGTGAACAGTGATCAGGTATGACAGGCAGTGTAGGTGAATTGATAGAAACTGGCACGTATTTGGAGTGGGAGATTGAGGTCAAGTGAAGTCACAGGTGATAGTGATAATGTAATGAATGATATGGGCATAATGATAAAGTGACTGGGAAGGAAGATGAATTCAGGCAAGAATTCTATAATGGAGTCATGACTCCATTACAGTGAGAAATCTCTCCAGAGATGTCAGCTGCTAAATCAGATCAGCATAAAGGAAAGAGTGGGATCCAGAGATTATTGTGAAGAATCTAGATTTAGCAAGGGGAGGAGGGAACCCATCTGGGAAAACCAACAGAAGGATGTTTATAAAGTTGGGAGGAGAGAATAAAGGACAGTGGAAATAATAGAGAGAGCGAGCTTTAAGAAGTTAGAATTGGAACATTCAGGTACTATTTCAAATGACAATAAATTTAAAGAGCAATTTCAGAATCTGGGAGGAGGGCAAGTCAATTTTCAAATTAGCTGATTAGAGTTGGAGAGATAGTACAGGATCTAAGGCAGTTGCCTAGCATGCTGCTGACTCTGGTTTGATCCCTGGAACCATATATGATCTTCTAAGCACTACCAGGGGATTATCCCTTAGCACAGATGCAGGAGTAGTTCCTGAAGACAGCTGGGACTAAACAACAACACAACAACAGTAACAACAACAACAACAGTAACAACAACAAACCATCTGGTTAACAAAACAGGATAAGATGGAACAATATGGAACAAATCCAAATATGGAATAATCCAAATATGGAATATGGAACTGATATGTGGCACTTCTAGCATAGAGTGGAGACTGGTAACTTCCTCTTTGGTCAGTGCAATAGGATTAAGACAAAATAGGAAAAAAAGTGTTTGGAAATTATGGAATTATTAAATCCTGGAACAATGAAGTATGTATTCAAATCTATTGAAGAAAATGTCTGTAACAATTTGCATAATACAGTGAAATTTCCTACACCTACTTAAAATGCAATACTTTGGAGTCAGAACTTTGTGAGAGTTTTTTTTCAGCTCGTTGCAGAGCTATCAGCCCTATTTAACTATGGTAACTCAAGACACGTTTGAGATCTTTAGTGAACTTTCTTAGCTTCTATGTGAAGTGATTCTGATATCATTTTCCTCCACTAAAGTAACCTTTCAGCCATTGTCTTAATTGCCCTCAACAATACAGTTATATCAACATATTTATACCTGATATAAATACCAAAACATGTATATTGATGTATTTATACCTGTATCTGTATCTATAGTATCTCTCTCTCACTATATATATTTTATCTGTGTAGTTTAGCTTACCTATATTTTTTACCTGTTGCTTATCTGTGTATTTTTAGTTCATCTGTATTTATAGAGTTTTGGAGAATCAAGATGCCCTATTTACAACCTCATTACTTAATCTCTAAAGTATCTTCCTAAAAAGGTCAATAATCAGGAGCAACCCCAACCTCCAACCCTGTAGATTAGGGACCTCTAGCCCTGCGGAATGTCTGGTGGAATCTTCCAATCCGTCTTCTCCACTTTGTGTCCCAGCTGCAGCCTCAGGAGGACTGGGGCATAGAGCATAGATTGAAGCGTTTTAGGGACTGGAGCAGGGTCTGAGAAAGGCGGCGCCACTTACCCGGCGGCTGATGTCCAGGCTAGTTTCTCGAGGCTTCCTTCGGGTCTTTGCACGTCGAAACTTTGAACATCGTCTTGGATCATCATCCATCCACAGCCTCACCAGCGGGGCCGGGTCAGCACCTACAATCTGAGCAGCCTGGGCTGACTCTTGTTTGGATTGTTAGCAGTAGTTACCCCATCTCACCGACTAAACGCCGATCTAAAGTAGGAGAGACTGAAGGCCAACGCGGACTTCTGTGACGTTTAAGGAGGGAAGCCCAGCAAGTGTTTATGGCATCGTGACGCGTGCACACCCTGGTTCTCTGCGTGTGGGGAGACCCGAGCTGTTACGTTGTACATTAATCATGAACAGCCCACCAGGATGGCCGCTCCTCCCTTTACCTGAAATCAAAATATCAGAAAAGGCTGACTTTAAAGAATGAGATGGACATGTGGAATCCTCATGCGGTATAAGACAAAAAAGATAAAAGAAAAAATATTGTATTTAGAATGCTGACATTTTTGTTAATTAATTATGGATTGATTTTGGCTTTCCTTAAAAAAATGCATTTTTTTTGGTTTTCCTTTATAATGTTTCAGTAAGGTCGTTGATCATTATCTCACTCTAGACCCAACCCTGGTGTGAAAGTAGTATTAAGGCACTGGGGTGTACAGAAAAATGGAATCTATCCTGGCTTTATTGACTAAGATAAAAAGGTTCACATAGGTTCTTAGCTGAGATATCCTTTTTCTTGCAGCAAATAAGTTTGCTCTCCACTTTGGGGAGTGGGGGCAGTCCCTTACACTCTTGAAGATTTAAAAAATAATAAGATGGGGCTGGATGGATAGCACAGTGGGTAGGCGTTTGCACAGTGGGTAGGGCATTTGCTTTGCACGCCGCCAACCCAGTTCGATTCCCAGCATCCCATATGGTCCTCTGAGCACCGCCAGGAGTAATTCCTGAGTGCAGAGCTAGGAGTAACTCCTGTGGATGGCCGGGTGTGTCCCAAAAAGCAAAACGCAAAACAAAACAAAATAATAATAACATCTCCCTAGTTCATCCATCATAGACTGGTGATGTTGCATAGTGCATGATGTAGTTTGTACCTTTGATTTGCCACTTGCTTGAGAAACTTGGGAGGCAGAAGTCTGTGTCCTCATTAGAAAATCATCTTATGGTAGAGCCAACCTAATCCACTTCCTTTAATAAATGGTGGCTCAACTGGATGAGTTGATTTCTTCTGAGTTGTAGTCAGATGCATTATCCTTTGTGCCACTTGCCTGCACGTTGATGATGAGCTGGCTTCTTGGCTCCAAATTTGAGCTTGAAATCTAGGAATTAAAAATAGCTCTCTGAAATGGATCTGATTACTTTAAAGATAATTGCTGGTATTGGAATAAAGCATTTAAAAATGCCTCGGTAGGGAAATCAAACACCATTTTAGTAATTCTAAAACGTGCTTAGTTCTTTTTCCATGGCTGGGTATAACTACTTATCATGGACAGAGTAATCACCTGAGAACTAATACTTCTATATTTTTTATACCAGAAATTAAAATTGGATGAAACTAATGGTTTAATGAAAACATATACAAAATAATTTATTAGCCCCTTATCTCCCATTTTTGCTATTATAGCATTTTCTGTACCATTTATGAATGCACTGTATGGAAGAACGGGAATGCAGGTAGGTTGTACAATATCTATATTGTTCAAATGTGAATTTTAGAACCATATACAAAATATTAACTATATAATTTCTACTAAAATCACTTAAATTTTTTTCTTTTGTTTTAAGGCCATTCCTGACAGTGATCAGGGGCTACTCCTGACTCAGGGCTCAGATTAAACCCTAGTGTCAGCCATGCAAAGCATGGGCACCAGCCCTTTAGATTATTTCCCGGCACCCCCATTTTACTCTCACCTTTTTTGTCTCTTTTTGACTTAAAATAATTAAGAAGAGGGGGGAGGGAGGGAGAGAGGGAGAGAGAGAAAGAAATAGAGAGAGAGAGAAGGCTAATTCTGTTTTAGAAAAAAGAGCTCAGAAACTAGGTGAGTTTCAGTGAATGCTTAATGTGTTCCTTCTTCAAGAAAAATGTATAATTAATAACACATCTATACACAGCAATACACATTTAATTATGAACTCTCAAAGATGGAGCTGTGAGAAGAAACATTTTGTATAGAAGTCCTTCCTCAACACCCTCACACCCATGGCATGCAGTTATTTCATAGAAGTTGCTCTAGCTGAATGAGCAGAGGGAACTTCACTTCCATTTTGTGGGATTAGCATAAAACATCAAGTCTGAGATTTAAAAAATTCATGTAAAATGTACATTTGCCATGATAATCTTGTTTTAATATAAAAATAAAGTGGCTCCCTCTACCCCCCTCAAATCTTTGAGTAATATTTACATTGAAGCAAGACACTCTGTGTTTATCCTGTGGCTTTACCTCCCTGGCACACTGCCCATTGCCTGCAGGGGTATGCATACCCCAGTTTGAAAGCTCTATCATATCATATATGTGGGTTTGAGTAAGAAGAAAGAGCCTTGTGCTCCAAGTCAGGGCATGTGGGGTTTAGTCTCAGCTCTGACATTAACTAGTTGTTGGCCACTTTCAAGTCACTTAGTGTCTCAATCTCTTCACTCAAAATGAAGACATTTTGAGTTTAGTTAAAACACAAATGAAAGCATTTTAAATTGCATTCCCCTAGACTGGTAGATGCTGTTTTATTCATAGATTCTTGTTAAGATGTGAACATATAGATTATTTTTTGAGACCAATTTGGCAGTGAAAAATCTGAAAAATTATGCATGCAATGGCTATCATGGAAGTTGGAAAATATTAGAAAGTTACCTTTCTAATTTTATCTTAAATAATCCCCAAAATTGTCTAGATTTTGTTTTTCTGAGTAAAGAGTATCAGAGAAAGTAATCATTTTTCTTTGTGCAGAATGAGTACAAAAATTACCTGTAGTCAAAACATTCTTACATGTATATAAATATCATTTTGTGATTTTTTTAATGACCAGAGTACCCACATTTTCACTGTTAACAGTTTAGGTAGCTAAACATACCATCTTCATCAACAGTTATAATCTTTTTGTTTATTATAAATAAAAATTATTACGGAATGTTAGGAATTCATGAAATTTTTCATGAGGCTGTTCTATTATTTACCTGACAGGTAGAAATGAGAAACTGTGCTTACTGTCTTTGTTCAGGACTCACTTTAAAGGACATTTGTATATTAAGCAACCTTAGAAGAGATAGGTACTGTCTCCCTCCAGAACAAAGGGCAGGCACTGGTGCTTTGGAGATTTTTGTTTGTTCTCAAAAATAGAGATGTTACTCTCTCTTATAGTACAGTATGGTGCATGTTTACAGCCCAGTATAAAAGATTTGCATTCCTAAGCTCTGTAAAGCCTCTGTATGTGGTCATAGTATCTGGCTTAGTTTTCATTGCCTTCTGGGGATTGTGGGTAGAGGAACAGGTACAAATACAGACACGGTAGATATGCTATTACTGTGAGTGATGAACAGTCTTTAATTTCAGAAATCTCCCTCATATCTTTTGCTGGTATCTATGAAGCTCCATGATACATGAAGCAAGAATTCAAGTCAGTAGCTGACTTTAGATGATGAAAGTTATGAGAACTGGTCTGCCGAACTGAGTTTACCAAGGTGTGGAGATGAAGGAGGCCACTGGTAGAGGGTGTAGTGTTGGATCATTGCAAGCATAAAACCCTATTGTTAACAGTCTTGTAAACCACAGTGCCTAAATTTTTAAAAATTCAATAAAGTTTTAAAAATAAATATTAAATTTTATTTTTTAAATTTAAAAGAGAAACTTCATAAGTTGGTAAGGAGAAATATGAAAGTTTAGGACCAAATTATATTGGATGCAACACATGTTTTTAAAAAAGCACTAAGTTAAAAAATATTTGTTAGAATGTATACTAAGGTAAGGTAAGGTAAAGGCCCTCCCGTTGATCGTCGATTTGCTCGAGCGGGCCCAGTAACGTCTCCATTGGAGACTTTGTTGTTACTGTGTCTGGCATATCAATACTCTCGGTAGCTTGCCGGGCTCTCCGAGAGGGGCGGAGGAATCGAACCTGGGTCGGCCATGTTGGCCGCTTGTAAGGCGAACGCCCTACCGCTGTGCTAATGTATACTAATAGTGAAATAATTTTTTATCTTTATAATAAGATTTCAAAATGTACTGTATGCTTTAAAGCTGAGACAGCACAAATTACAATTATTATGCCAAATCTAAAATATTGTCAAAGAAGTCTCAGTTTTACTCCTTCTAAACAGTGATTTTTTTTTCAAGATTCATTCTAACTCAAACATGAGAAGTTTCTGGATTTTCTCTATTCTTCCTTACGTTGTAAGGTACATTTTAGAACAGTGAGGAACATAGTTTGGAAGTCATTTGCCTTTTGATCTGGAGTGAATGCAGTGGCATTTAAGGTTCTCAAGGATAGGTTCTTCATGACTTTTATTTATATACTATAATGATCGGCAGAGCCTTGCAAGCTCCCCGTGGAGTATTTGATATGCCAAAAACAGTAACAACAAGTCTCACAATGGAGACGTTACTGGTGCCCACTTGAGCAAATCCATGAACAAGGGGAGGACAGTGCTACAGTGCTACTATAATGATAAGGAGAGATCTTCAAGATAATCCCAGGAAGGTTACTATGTGTGGCCAGACTTGGGCCATTAAGATGTTTAAAGTGCTCTTCTCATTGCTTGAAGCTGTTTTTGATGACTGGACATCATTTATGCAGTCATTCACACACTATGAAATTGACTGACTCCCCACCATAAAATAAGCAATCTATCAGAGCCTGAGGGATATGAACGAGATACTCTAAAAATGAGAGTTAGGAAGTACATGACATGGGTATCCACAGCTCTAAACATACTTTAATTGTATTTGCTTGATATTGACTAGCAATCAAATGGATCATTTAAGATGTTGTTATTATTTGCTTATTGCCTGAAGAGTTTCAATTATCTTAAGACATAATTTCTAACTGTCTTAGTGACCATATTAACCGTGTGCTTTTTAATGGATTTTTCCCCCTAGCTGCAATGATCT